TACATGTATATGAGGCTATTAAAAATATGCTATGACTTGGGTCAGGTGCACCTTAGAATTTAAAGTGACAGCTTCGATTGTTAACACTTTAATGTATTCTTCTGCAGATTTGCTCGTTGAAATACATCATTTGATTTCTTGAGTCTTGTTTCCATAGGAGTTGATTGCGTCAGTTGTGGAGATTTTTGTTTTCTTACTGATGAGGTCTAATCCATACTGAAGGCTGTCGTCTATGATCTTTCAGCAAGCAAGATTGTGTTCTTTGCATATGGCCTGTTGTTAATGAGTCTTACTCCAATATTGATGTGTCCTTCTTCATATAGAAGTAGATCATCAGTTCCTTCTTCCTAGTCTGAAATACAGATGTTACAGCTTCCAATATCACAGCAAACCACCACAGTATGACACACTGGCAGTCAAGTGGTAAGAGTGTACCATTTGCCAGGTCAAGACATTTGAAGGGGCAACTCTATTTTGAAAAGGCAATTCAATTTCAGAGATTACAGTTTGAAAACCAAAGAAATATTTTATAAATTAAGAAATGTAAGATAATGAATAATCTAGAAATGATGACATATTGGGAAAAGTTGAAGAACCTGATGGCATACAGTCTTTCCACGGTAAGGCCCGGGATACCTGAATAGCTGTCTTCACATATTTTGAATGGGATGTAATCGTGAAATTTGAACAGTATTACAAAAAAGTAAAACTCAAAGTAAATTAGGGGATAAGATTCTAAAAATTATTATCATGACCTATAATTAACCGCTTTATAAAAGAGAGAGCTTGTTTTAACTGGAAATATGCCAAGAGCCGAGATGATCAATTTCCATGGATCCATAGAAAGAAATCAAGGATTAGAAGAGAACAGGAACTAATGAAACTCTAAGCTCTTTCCAATTCTAAGAAATTGCAATTACTATTCTTTTTCTTTATGTATTGTGGTACCTGGATTTTACCCAGAAGCCATTGCTCTCCTGTTTCCCATTTAGGGATATGAACTATCCTTAAGTCACACCCATGAAACTACATTTTGCATAAGGTCACAGAACAAATGCTACACTTGGTAAGAACTCAAAGGCATAGCTTGCTATTTTTACATGTGTAACAAGTGCCAAGCAATGCAAACTTTGCCACCACTCCTCTTTGTCACTTTAACCCTCTCCTACCCTTAGGCATTGCTAGACAAAGTGCACTTTCATCCCGGTATGGATATATCTACTTATATCTTCTTTATTTTTCCCTTTATGGTATTGGGACAATAAAGAGAGTCTTCAAAGTCATGTAGTGTGCCACCTCTGGGAATGTATCTGTGCTGCTCAGCCCACCAAAAATTATGGAGCAACTCCAGTCAATTATTCTTTAGAGTGGTTTCAAAGAAAATCTTTCGGAAAGGGTGGAATTTGCACCTATGTGATACACATTTTCTTGCAAGGAAGATATTGAAAGCATAGAAGTTATCTTGTTTAAGATGCCTTTCCTTTATTGGACATTTTCTAGTTTAAAATAGTCATACATACATTTTATAAGTCAATCCATACAGGGATATGTAAAAGTAAAATAATGTTAAAAACTGCTTTCTCTTGGCCACTCCACTGATATAACACTGGCCAACACACATTTTGGTGCCTCAGATGTTAGACTTGTTTGTGGGTAGATTTGACCTGCTGATTCCAAAAATGGCACTGTTTTTTTCTTATCAGCTCTAGTTTTTGAGATCCAGAACGCATGACATGTACTACTCTTCATTCTGCTCATCCATAAAAAATCAGAATATTTTAATATAGTGGTAGCTAAGTGCCTGAGATACAAGAAGTATACTCTGGATTTATTTAGAGTAGTTTTTGGCATACTAAATATTTAGATCAAGTTATAATTCACATGGTGTCCTTTGATTCAAATAAGATATATTTGAATAGTGCAAATTACATGAATTTGATATTTACCCCCAGTATTACTTCACCTTTATTAGGAACTAATAGTAGGCAGTTTCAATTTGTTGTCTTAAAAAGGGGCCAGAAGTCAGAATCACCGTACATTAAATCAGGAGACCTCAAGGCATGGTGAGTTATCTGTGTGAATGCTCATCATGAGGCCAGTTATTCAAGCCCACCAACTGCTCTGCAAGAGAAAGATGAGATTTTACGCTCCCATTAAGCCTCACAAACGTACAAGAGAAGTTCCACCCTGTCCTATAGGGTTGCTGTGAGTTACAATTAACTGACTGTAATGAGTTTGATACAATAAAGTGATATTCAAATGCTCTGAAACCCAAAATAGGTCTGCCAGAGTCAAATTCCTTTATTAAAATTACAATGTTCCAGTCTTGTTAGGAGATGGCACAACCGCTCCACCTGTGAAACAAAAAAGAAAAGTTAGAATTTTTCTTACAATGAAACTTAGAGTCAACCTCACTTCATGTAACATGAATTCATTTGGCATGAATTATCCATTGACTTCTGTATATTGAAATGTGTTCTAAAATATTTATTGCGTAATTTGAAGAAGAAAAATTTAGATCTTCAAAATAGGTAGAAAAATTACTTTGACGTTTTAGATTTTTAAAACACTAACTTGCCCTCACACCTTCCATATATGCACCTTTTCAATGTTTCTTCATATTTTCCACTCTTCTCAAGCTGTGTTCTGGCTTTGCAGTATCCGACATGTATTCTCTGTATGTATTGCATAGCCTACCGTACAAAACTGAAACATCTGCTGCCATCGAATCGATTCTAACTCATAGGACAGAGAAGCACTGCCCCTTCGGGTTTCCAAACCTTTAAATCTGTTAATGATTGTAGAGTGACTGGTGGCATATCAATGTGTAATTAACTTGGCACCATGGGTCCATATGCAGCCTCCCTTGGAAGTCTCTTAATACCTAATAATTTTTTCAAATATTTCTTACCTTTTTTGTGTGTTTTCTCATAATTTGTGGGTCTGAATTCTTCCTTTATTTAGAATTAGGATGATAAAATAGTATAATGTGATAGCTGGAAATATAGTGGAGCACAATATCTAAGAAAGTACAGCTGATGTAGGCCATCCAATGGGATTTTCTAAATCAGCATCCCAAATAACCCCAGGAACAGGCCTTAAAAACTAAGACACCAAGACAATTTTTTGTTGTTATTGGACTGTGTGATCAGTGTTAACATTTTGGGTCATACCTTTATCTTTGTTCATCTCATATATGTAAACTTACACAAGCATACATAATCTATTTCCCCCACTTTAAAAAATAGGAACACTATACATATTATTCAGAAATTTACTTTGTTTCACTTAATATGTTATAAACATCAAGACTTTCAGATCTAATTTGTCTTTTCAGAGCTGCACGCAGAAAATGAACATATTTGATTACATGAAAATGTAAAGCATCCAAGGGCCCAGGAAAAATAGTCATAACGACACATGGCCAACATAAGATTAATTGCCATGATTTATAGAGGTCTAAATACAGGCATGTTCATATGTAAATATATTTACATATAAGTACAGGGAAATAGATCTATGTACATATATTTATATGTTAAGTATTAAGGTAGCAGATGGACATTAGGCCTCTACTCAAGTACTCCCTCAACACAAGAACACTTTGTTCTAATAATCTGGCATTCTGTGATGCTCACCTTCCCCTTCTGAACACAATCGCTGAAGACAAAATGGGTGCATAAGCAAATGTGGTGAAGAAAGCTGATGATGCCCAGCTATCAAAAGATATAGCGTCTGGGGTCTTAAAGCATTGAAGGTAAACAAGCAGCCATCTAGCTGAGAAGCAACAAAGCCCACATGGAAGAAGCACACCAGCCTGTGTGATCATGAGGTGTCGAAGGGATCAGGTATCAAAGACCCAGAACAAAAGCTCATATATTGTGAATGAGGGGGAGTGCAGAGTGGAGACACAAAACCCATCTGTAGACAATTGGACATTCCCTTATTACAAGAATCACAAGGAAGAAACGAGCTAGTCAGGGTGCAGTAGAGCACCAATGAAACATACAACATTCCTCTAATTCTTTAATGCTCCTCCCCTCACTCTCATGACCACAATTCTACCTTACAAATCCAGCCAGACCAGAGCAAGTACATGAATACAGATAATATCTGGAAACACAGGGAATCCAGGACAGAAATCCCCTCAGGACCAATAATGAGAGTAGTGATACCAGGAGGGGAAGGGGAAGGTGGGGTGTGAAAGGGGGACCCAATCACAATGATCTACATATAATCCCCTCCCAGGGGGACAGATAACAGAAAAGTGGGTGAAGGGAGACAGCAGTGTAAGACATGAAAAAATAATAATAACATAAATTATCAAGGGTTCATGAGGGAGGGAGGGGGAGGGAGGGAGAGAGGGGCCAAATGAACTGATAACCAAGGGCTCAAGTAGAAAGAAAATGTTTTGAAAATGATGATGGCAACAAATGTACAAATGTACAAATGTGCTTGACACAATGGATGTATGTATGGATTGTGATAAGAGCTGCATGAGCCCCCAATAAAATGATTAAAAAATAAAAGATTAATCAGCATGAAAGATAAGGATCTCCTACAAATTGACAGAGAATTCTACGTGATGGAAAAATGGGCTAAACATATGAAACTGTTCTTTACAATATGGAAATGCAATCAATTTCATTAGTAGTCATGATAACATAAATCCAAAGACAAATAATAGTTCATTAAAATTATGAAAGTAATTAAACCAGTGTAAAAAAAACAGATAACAAACTACAAACTACATGGAGATACATAAAAAAGACCTTGAAAGTCTCACCTTTGATCCTGCAATTTCATCCTCTATGAGGTAACCAAGTTTTCCATTGACCACACATAAAAATTCATAATGAAGGTTATCTTAAATAAAAGAGAAATCTACAATATGTATTACACTCGGCAACTTCCTTTTTTTCACTTAATTTTTATGGTTATTCCTGGCCAGTATGAAAATATCCAGGTTGCTACTTTATTTGTTATTTTTTATTTTTACTGTTTATTTCAAACTAGCTTTTATGTCACAAAAGAAAGGAAGTCAGTTTCTATTTTACTTTTCCTCCTTTTATCACCATTCCGATCAGTGTTTAGATCTGACGAGTGAGGAATCTGGAGGGTTTTCACAGCTACGATCCTTCTCTTTTGACAAAATGTTAAATTTATTCAAATTATTTTCCCCTTTATTTATGGTCTGTAACAGAGACCAAGAGAAAGCATACTACATGGAATTGTGCAGCCCAATGCATCCGACCAGTGAGAGATCCCAGTATACAACCTCGCCCAAATGTGGTTTTATCCTCTTTCTTTTTCCGCACCCACCTTCTCTCTTTCCTTTTCTACCCCTCCTCTCTTCCCCTTCTCCCTCCCCCAGCAGTCTCTTCATAGTCTTCAAAATCTTATTTGGTTTGACACTTTTTCTTGTCCCCCTGTGACAAAATGTTTATTTTTTTATGAGATGACAGTGACTATTGTTTTTTAGGTTTGCTTAATATTCCACAGCAAATAAAGAATTTTGCTTCTTTTGTGCCAATTGGGATGCCTTTAATATCTTTTCGGTGTCTTTCAGCTCTGGTTAAAACTTCTAGGACTAGCGGAAATAAAAGTATTATTAAAGGGCAACCATACCTGGGTCCCAGAGAATCTTGCTAGGGTAGTAGTTATGCAGTTCAAAACCATCAGCCACTCTGTGGGAGAAAGAAAGGGCTTTCAACTCCCATAGAGAGTTATAGTCTGTGAAACTCCTAGGGTTATTTATACCCTGTCCTATGCTGGTGCTATGAGTAAGTATCGAAGCAATGGTGTTTTTTTAAAAATTTTGTCTGATTCTTGCTTACAGGTGGAATATTTTCTATTTTTCTCCATTGAGTCAGATGCTAGCCATTGGTTTTGCATATATTGCCTTTATTAAGTTGAGGAATTTCCCTTCTATTCCTATGTGATTAGCGTTTTTGTCTAGAATGGGTATTGAATTTTATTTAATGTCTTTTCTGTGTCAATTGATATAATCATATGGTTCTCTTGCTCTGTTTATATGGTGGATTGCCTTGCTTTGTTTCACTTTTAAAACCTTGCATGTCTGATATAAATCCCATTTCATCATGATGGACTATTTTTTAAACAACATAAAAATCTCATTTACTTCACGTGTTTGTTATCCTTTAAAATTTTGTTTAATTCATATATACAAACAATGTGTTGGTACAAGTAGTACATTTTAAATAAATATGCATATACAAAGAAGCACATTGCCATCAAGTTCATTCCCATTCATGTGACCCCGTGCATGTGAGAGTAGAAGTGTTCCATAGGGATTTTAATGGCTGTAATCTTTTTGTTTTCCTAGATATTATAAAATATAAGATTTATTAGTAAATGGAAAGCATTGCTTGAAGAGTCCTTGGCTTGTTATGTTGAAATTACTGAGAAGATAATATTCACTGAGTCCTAACGCAACTTATCATAAGAATTTATCATGCCTATTGATTGAGCAGGTAGAGCTCAAATCCATTTACAGAGCACATACGTTTGCAAGCTGTCCTCCTGAACCACCACACACTGCAAATTGGAGCAATGGTAAAGAACTTACCTGCTAATGGAAAGGTCTGCAGTTTAAACCCACCAAAGGCTCCGTGGGAGAAAAGACCTGCGAATTGGCCCTCATCAACTACAACCTAGAATATCTGATGGGGTATTCTACGAGTAATAATTGGCTTGATGGCCACAAAAACATCAACAGCAACGTTCTCTGATGCTCCACTCAATAAACTTTACCTTTTTTAACTCAATCGCCATTCCATTAGTGTTATACTAATTTAAAAGAAAATGTTCAAGTATGATTGGCAGTTTTTAGGAAAACTTGCATTTTAACAGTTTTATTGGCTCTCCATCCACATATCATACAACGCAGTAGTTCAATCATATCAAGAAAATTGTACAATCATTAACACGCTCAATTTTAGAACATTTTCTGCTTCCTTGTACTCTTTAGTGTAATTCTTTTAAGTGTGACAAAAAAAAAAAAAAACCCAGAGCAAAACATTGCCCAATTCAACAACTTCTACATGTATAATTCGGTGCCATTGATTATATTCTTTGTGTTGTACAATAATTATTGCTATCCTTTTCCAAATTATTCCACAATTATTAACATAAACTCACTACCCCCCCAAGGAAAAACTTTTCCACCTTTGCCCATGGTAACTCTTGATCAACTTTGGTTTCTTTTTGTTTGTTTAGTAGTTTTCTTTTTTATATATTAAAAGATAATGTTATTGGGGGCTCTTACAACTCTTATAACAATCCATACATCAGTTGTGTCGAGCATATTTGTGCATATGTTGCCATCATTCTTTGCCAGGCATTTAATTTCTATTGAGCCCTTAGTATCAGCTCCTCTTTTTTCCCTAACCCCCACCATGAACCCTTGAAAATTATAAAATATTATTATTTTCATCTCTTTATTTTCATGTCTCTTCTTGGTAGAAAATTCACATATCATACACTTCCATAATTAAGCCCCTTTTGAAGAGTTGTATATACATCATTACAATCAGAGCTAGTGCTCTCCTCACTCTTGCATGTATTGTTTGTACTCCAACTCTCCCCCCTCCTCAACTTTCTTCCCCAATAACCATTGCAGCAATGACTGTCTCTATGCATCCACTCCTTCTGTGCCTCATAAACTGGGAAACCTAACAGAAACAATAAAAACACGTTAAAAATAAACAGATAAAAAGAAAATAATAAACAACAAATAAAAATAAAGAGTAAGAAATAAAAGACCACCAACAATATTTTAAAAGCCAGAGAAAAAATTTCTGCCATGGTATAAGTGAGAAATGTTTAAGCCTAGAGCAAATTCAGGTTGGGTCATGAGGGAGAGCAATGGACCAAGTATATTATACTGTGGTTCGATCCACCATAAATCAGTTTACAATAATCTCTGAGAGCAAAACTGATGGAGGTCCTTGCCTGTGGCTAGAGGGGATCTGCCATCGGCTTGATTTGAATAGATCCTCTGCAAATGGACTTGGGGCTCCCACTGTCCTCCATAGTTTTCTACAGATTGGGTGGTGACAATTGAAGCTCTGGTACTGTTCCCTTCATATTTGTGTTTTGTTATTTTCAGCTTTGGATCACACAGGCTGGTGTGCTTCTTCCTTGTGGATGTAGTCAACGCCTCGCTTAGATGGCTGCTTGTTTGAATTTAAGATTCTGATGAAAATCTGTATATTCACAAGCGGTATTGGTCTATAATTTTTAATTCTGGTAATGGCTTTACCTGGTTTAGTCATTAGGGTTATACTTCCTTCCTAAAATGAGTTTGTTAGTATAGTATCCTTTTCTATATTCTGAGATAATGTATGTAGAATTGGCATCAAGTTCTCTAAATGATTGACAGAATTCCCCAGTGAAATCATCTGGTCCCAGATTTTTTTATGTTGGGAGTTTTTAAATGATCAAATCTATTTTTTTTGTGTTATAGGTCTGTTAAGGTTTTCTACATCAGTCAGTATTAATTTAACCAAATTTCGCTGCACCGACTGGGTGCTAACTCACGGTGAGCTGATAGGACAGAGTAGACCTGCGCCTATGGGTTTCTGAGACTGTAACTCTTTACAGGAGTAGAAAACATAATTTTTCTCTGAACTATGTTAATTTAGGTAGTTAATGTTTATAGAAATTTGTTAATTTCATCTAGGTTTTCAAATTTGGCAGAAAACAAATTTCCATAATTTTGTATAATTATCTTTTTTATTTCAGTTGGTTCTGTTGTGATGATGCCTTTTTAGTTATTATTTCCTTTATCTCATTTTCCTTTGCTAGGTTTGCCAGTGGTTTAGAAATTTTGTTAATCCTTTCAAAGAGCCAACTTTTTATTGTGTTGATTTTCTCTTATCATTTTGATTCATTTATTATTGCTGAAATCTTATTTCTTTTCTTCTAGGGTCTGAGGGCTTGTTTTGCTGGTCCAATGTGATATGTTAAAGTATTTACTTGAATTCTTTTTTCCTTTTTGATGTATACACTTTTGATAATGTTCCATAGAATTCTTAGGTTTTCTTCATCTTTTTTAGTTTCATCTTCTTGTATTTTTGTCTCAAGAGATTTGTCTTCAACATCACTGAATCGTGTTTCCATGTTTTCAGTTCTTCTGTTTCATTCTTTCAAAATGTTATCCACTTATAATATCTGTTTTGCCTTAGAAATACCTATTTTTAATTGTTGAATTATTCTTAGATTTTAATTTATTTTGTCATATGGCTCTTTTAGTGCTTTTCTCGGTTATTGTATCTTCTGTTTAATCTGTATTTCTGTTTAAATCAGCTGAATATCATGCTCCTAAACTCTTTCATAAGGAGATCTAAATATTTCTTCCAAGACCGCATCTGTAGCCACATCTCCATGTATTCTATTCAGTTGAGCCATTTTCCCATGTGCACAGAGATTGGCGCTGCTTCTAAGATATAGCATTGTCTTATATTTTTCTCTGGAGTGAACAATACTCCCCCCCCCCATACTTGTTGTAGATACTGAAGAGTCAAGGGTGGCTAGGTAGATCAGCACAAGTCTGCCCCGAGGAAGGCCTGATGGCAGGAAACAGATAAATACTACCCCTGTCAAGATCTTGGTCTACAGGTAGGTTCTGGAGCTTTCAGGGAATAGAGACCAATGATCAATACAATTTCCATCAAGGGGGAAATAAGTGAATGTCCAAGATTCTGTTCAATTGTCCACCCAAGCTGTATTCACTCACTCTGTATATCAGAGTGTTGCCTAGGGATTCTTTAAAATGACTCCCCTCTGGGCATGAGGTGACAGGCAAGTGATGCCTATCTGAAGCCTGAGTTTACATAGAGATGACATTCAAACTCTCCTATTCATTTAATATTGCACTCCCCCAGGGCTGGCTTGTGCTCTTGGTATGCTGGGGACATTTTGCAACAGAACTCCAGCAGACGTTGAGAGATAGCCTCCAGCTGATTCGAATGCCCAGAAAACAGTGATCTGGCTGTTACTCTTTTACCACTAACCTGTGGATCTTCTTGGCTGAATTCATTTGCATTCTCACCTCTCCAGTACCAAGTCAACCCCTTTCCACTAAGTCCGTTAGGGGA